ACTCCATCAGCGCAAAGGTATCATTTGTTTTAAGTATTCTTAGACCAGCACACTCTTTGATAACGGATGAGAAAGAAAAGGAAGACGAAATATAAAACATTACTGAGACTCTCAAGTGAAATAACTACCCAAAGCACTTCATCAACAAAATCGACACTGACATTAAGTATGGTTGAGAACGTATTCCGAAAACATGGACCTCAACACTTATCATTCTACACAGAGAGGAGACGTCAAATGATATCAGAAGAGTACTCAATGAACTCGATATCAGAGTTTTCTTCAAAACATTAGACACACTGCGAAACATTATTAATTTTCCAATGTTAAAAGTCGTAAGAGCGAAATTTCTCAGCCAGTTTATTCACAGTAGCAATTAGGCCTAGAATACAGCAAAACTTAATATGTGAAATCTGGCCAAACATTCCAAGCAGGTATGCGCTTATAAATTATTTGTTGTTTTACAAACCTTAGTATATAATCTTGAAAGTTTACTCACCAGGCTTGATGAGAACTTCTTCACTGACTTCAGTCATTACACTGATACGCACAACAATGCACGGCTGAAAACTATAGCCACGCATTTGAGAAGAAATTGTTCAGGGTTTATTTCTGTCATTTACATCATGATGGTGTGAACAGACTAGGATGATTAAGTGATTTCTAATACTGTTCATTCACCAGTCAATTTTATTTCCATAGAGTATCTTTGCATATATGTGCTCTCATTTTGTTTGTGTAATCAGGAAGGATATTAATTTGTTTGTCTGTTAGGGAAAACAAGTATTTGGGTAAGTATATTTTTAGTAGTTCCATTCCCTGTAGCTACGATTTCTCACTTTAATCCATTTTTGTTTGACTTCGTAAATTCAGCTTATTCATAGATACAGTTAAGGCTTTGGTAGCGCGTAATCGGAAGCCTAATACCTTGGGCAGATTGTTATACACAGTGTATACCAGTAAATCTGTGCGTCACGGCTGACTCACACCTACAACCTCACTAAGAAGATAGTAAGGCCGGTAAAGAGGGAAGTTTGGGAGTGAGGCAAACAACCCATCCCGCGAAGATAAAAGCCGCTGCTACCGATACTTCGAAGCTCTAGCCTGAAGCTCTGCGTTCCACTGGGAAAGTAAAGGAATAAAATTTAAAAAGTAATACCATTAAATCCACATGTTATTGTTTAACTAGTCGGAGGATTTCATCATGAGCTGACATCAGTTGGAAAACCATTGGAAAGCCAACAGGGAGTACTGGTTGAATGTTTCTTCCTAGTGCTTGAAACTGTTCATCAATAAGCACTCATCACAGCGGTTCGAATCCAGGACCTTCTGGGTACAAAGCTAGTGAGCTGGTAGACCATTTAGCTACTGGGACCTGATCCGACGGCCCATGAATCCAAGCCAAAGTCAATTCATGACATAGCGCGATCACTTCTCAACATCTTCTTCGATAAGTTACTGCCTCACCTTCAACCTGCTGTACCCGAATGGTCACGGATTCCCACTGGAACCCTATGTTAACTCCCTGAATAGGACCAGTTATTAGTGAGCATCAAATTAATTGTCCCAGTGGCCTAATTGTTCACAAGTTCGCTAGCCTTGTAACCAGAAGGTTATGGGTTTGAACCTTAGTGAGTGAGTACTGTTGAAGAGTCCCAAACTAGAGCGAAACAGCTGGTCAGTACTCACAGGTGGGTTTTCCAATGGTTCTTTAACTGATGTCAGCTCATGATGAAATACTCCAACCAATAAAACGAAACCGTCCTTTCAGCTTTCGCCGCAAACATGAGTTTAACTGAAAGATAATGATCGTTTAGTGTTTCTGAAGCGTCACCAAGTGAAATTTAAAGGAAACTGCCTTTTTCACTAGACTGAGCAGTGTTGTCCCAGCCACAGTTGGCAGAGATGACGATATCACATGAAGAGATAGAGAGCCGAAATCAACTGTAAAAGAGAGATGGAAGTTCGCCAGTCTGATCTCTGTGTAGAGATATACAGCACTCAACAGAAGAAACAATACCTGAATTTTCAACAATAGAGCCAAGTGATTGCTACTTTGTGATTGATATGCTTGGAATATACCTCAGAAAAAACATTCTGCTGCAGACTTTCTTCAGCACACACATTAGCTGAGAGAGAGACTCTGGTATATAGTAAAATAATCCACAACCTACTGCCCAAAAATAAGCAGAAGGAGGCAGAATTGAATTGGAGATATACTAAAGAGATATTCAATTGACATCACACTCCAGCCAAACCCAAGTGGGGTAACCCAAGTGTAAAGCAACCGATTAAACGTCAAATTGGGATATTGGGGAGCTAATATGAAGACAAGATGAAATGTTGTGGACAGAAAAAGAATAAGCACATGGAAGTGGGATGTATTTCTGAGGCCCTGTATTTTTCTGGGAACTGATAATTTTCTTGGCCCGTTATAAAGTGGCATCCGCAAGCATTTTGTATTCCAGAAGTTTGTCTTAAGAGCTGCAAGGACAGCACGTAAACCTCGTCCTATTTCATATTTTTTTGAGAAATATCGTTCTCCAAAATGAACTGTGTACTAAATCTGTATCTGTATTTGATTGACGTTTTCTTCAAGATATTATAGTATAATCCCGTCACTTTAAAACAATGATGACAAAAAGTCACTTGACAACAGTTTGTATAGCTGGATTTAACGTTTTTGACAGTGAAAATATCAGATGACGACTTAACCCTTTTTTCACTGCATATTTAATGTCTTTTCCTGATAACTGCGCAGATGTACTTAATTAACTAACTTGTTAGTGGAGTAAATGACACATTGGTTCCCCCCTATTCTTACTTGTGAAGGCATTTCAATGAAGAAATCAGTGATGAATAATGAATGAGTATAACGCATTTCTGTATTGTTTTTTTTTTTCAAATTGACACTCCTGAAATCGGAGAATAAACGCTATGCATAACACATTTTACACTGAATTAGTAGCATTATTTTTGAACTCTTTAAACTACGTCTTTCATAACTGTATCTGATAGGATATGTAAAAAATTTCAAATTGCTGTTCAAAATAGTTGTATTCTTCTAACGTATGAGACGTTTTATTTCCAAACAAACACACACCGTTAGTCAGGATAAGGTCTGCTAACACTTCAGAATTGGTGACTTGTCAAACCTTCTCCTTATTTTTGTGTTTGCACCACAGAAGACTTATAAATTAGTGACTGCTGCCCGTAATCACTGCCACCTGGTCAACAGCCGCTTGAATTTCTTTAAAGATTGATCACGGAATGATATTATTTACAGAATCATTAAAAACCAAGAAGTACCAGATAGATGATTCGTCAACATTTAATGCCTCTGACCCCAGCAGCGATCGAATCCAGGACCTTCAGATTACCTGTCCAAGCTCGTTGAACATTCAGCCACTGGGATAGTACTCAGTCATCCGTGAATTATTCTCACATCCGACACCGTGGATCCTACTGGTTATGACTTCTCACTAGAACTCCAGTATTCTCCAGTTCTCTCACTAATATCAATCTGTGAAACTGACTAACTATTGAGACTTCGTTTATTTATTACTGATCTTTAAAATTTCTACTGTGTACAGTAATCAGTTTACATATGATAAGTTCGTCTTGCAATGATAAATAAATAGATTGATAGATTAGATGGAAGCCATGGAGCTAAGTTCTGTTTTTATCTTAATTGTCATCAGCGATTATCTCCAGCTTTCTAGTAATTGATGTTTGTTTAGATATTAAAACCGGCATCATTACATGCTTCAGTTACTTACATTTATTCTGAGACGTTTGAGTCATAGCTGACCTCTGATAAGACTGTAGTGGGAACACTGACCGATCAGTGAAGTGCAATGAATATTGCCTTTTCCATTAAAATTATCTGTCTTAAGTATTGCGACACTAAAACTTTGCTTCCTCGTGAATGTAATGTAATCTAATAAACTCCTCGGTGTACTACGTGCCGCTGCAGATACACACAGGTTGACATTTTTACATGAAAGCATCTTTAATACTTATAATAAAATCTTTATTCTGGACAGTATTTATAAAATGTACAGAATTTTCAGAGGATATTATTGCATGATATTTTCCCTTTGTACAGTCAATAACTTCAAGTAAAATATTAATTGACAGTATATCCTGTGCATGACACAATGGTGTCTGAGCTGATGAAGCACAAACCATTCCACTATCAAATACCTTCTTCGTCTGATTCAAGAAATCCATCCACGATATCTAGTTGAAAGCCAATTGTAAGACGTTCAGAGGTACATTTTGAGACCTAAGGAGATAACTGAAGAACTGTTATCTCATTTATTGGAACATGCTGCCACCCACAGTTAGGCCTTTCCTTAAGTTAAGTAGTAACTTGCGAATCAGAAGCTTGTAAACATTTTAAATACACACAGGAGTAGGTAGTACTAATAGATGGTCATATTTTAATCGATTAAAAGAAACCGAACGAGAGAAAATACATGCAATAGAGAGAGATGGAAGTGATTTGGTAGCCCAATTTTTGAGCAGGCCACCATGTATATCGAATATAAGAATTCTTCTTGAGTTCTGAGTTGAGCTTGGGGCTTCAGAAACACCACTTCGCCCAGATCTCTGTTAGCAGTTTCAAAAGGCTCTACCACTTGATGCAAACTTTTTATCTCTCCCACATACTTTCTCCCCTGTGATCACCATTGAAGCCAACTCTAACTTGCCGCCTCCCATTCGAGTTCCATACAACAGTCCTCTCGGCGTACATCCAATCCGCCGGTTTTTCCTTCTCCATATTTACTGGGTAACAGGTTGTTATCAGCTTCGGCGCTTATTGGATACTCAGTACCAAGTGAAAGGGGAAATCTTTTTCTTTTGATTGGACAGCTCTCTGAACTCTAAAAAGTCGCAGACGTCCATTCATTCATTAAAGTTCGCCTATATTTTATTATTATGACTACTAATATCAATTAATATGTTTTCTTTTAAAATTTGTTAAACAAATCTAGGCTTCTCATCTATCAGGAGAAAACACATCGTGGAGTTAAAAGTGTACTGGTCTTTCGAAAATTACGTTCCACTGATTTTTCTACTTATAACTGTACAGTATTCAATGATTATGGATCAGATTGGAGGCTAATATCATTAACAGATGACAGTAAGTTAATTTAGATTTTTACGATTTCTTTATTTTGTATCTTACAGAGTGTAATGAATTACTGATTGATTTTGAAGTCTGAAATGTACTCCTATATCATATATAACTTATATATATGTCTGAATGAAGAATATTCTTTACAATAAATTCTCTTCAGTTTCGTACAATTCCTTGAGTTTGAGACGCTTAATATACTACAAAATATTAGAAAATGTTTATAAAAGTGTGTTAAACGAAGCATTTAACTTCATGATATCATATACTACTGATTGTTTGATATCAGTAGTTGGACATCACATCACCACATCAAACCAGTAGGGCTTGCTAGTCAGGCTGGAGTGATTTAAACACAGGAGAGTCACCTCGCTTATTTAGGGTTTAGCTTCTTCTAGCCGTGCATGTGGTTTGACTACCCTTAGAGAATTGAATAAGTTCAAACTACCTGATTTCTGGCTAATTATTTAAGTGAACTGTTAATGAGTTAAATCTCATACTGTGATCTAAGTATTTTCGGTTTCCAGACGAAACTGTGGTGGAACTTTGTTTCGAGTTGTGTGAACTGTGAATCGCGAATTAATTTGCAAATTACAAATTTGATGAAATACATGGCTGATGAAATTTTTACTCATTATAATGTCAGCATATTTAAGTGGTATTTTAAGATATACGTAAAAACTTATGACCACAACTTATTTTTGTTCCTTTGGATTGGGCTTGAACAACACACCTTCACTTTCTTCTCTTTTCTTCCGTCCTCTTCTGCTTGGACTTTCATGTCACCCTGTCACTGACGACCCACTCGTCGGCTCTCCTTTAGGATTCCACTCGAGCACTAGCCTGCATTGAGCACGACCTCACTCGACGGCCTCCTCAGCGTGTGTTCGACCCATCCACTTTTTCGCCCATATATTTTTTAAGCAATAAGCTCTTCGTTGGTTTGTTCCACTAAAGAGTTACTTGTTGCTAATTCCTTCCGGCTAGACGACTGACTATTTGATCTCAAGTATGGAGCCAGTTAAGGTGGCGACTGCTGATAAAAGCCTTCACTAGCCTGTTGGATATGCTTTCTGCGACGCGCAGTGCAATTTTCTGATCTGTATAGAAGCAGTGATTGACTGACTTCAAATTTGTGTGGTCTTACAAACTGATATCAGGTTGATGAAAGCGCGCCTTGCTTTTTCGATTCCCCCTAGTTAAGACATCTTCATACGTTCCGATTGCATGCGGCCGAGACCGTACTTCCTGGCTAGATAAGTGGAAGAAGTAACCTCTGTCAAATATCTCCCGTTGATTATGACCGGTGCTGGTTGTTGGCGCTGTTGCTGTTGGTTGGCTGACTTCATCACCTCTATCTTCACCTGGAGTCCTGCCTTCGCTGCCTGCCTGCCTCGCCTCTTCTACCATTTTGTTGGTTTTTGGCTGTAGATAGATCTTCGAGTTTGTGTGTGTGTGACATTAGACATAAATCTTTCACTCGCGGAATCCAGATGTTGTAGAGTCTTGTTATCAGTCAGTGGAAAGTATTTCTACCTTTTCGCTCTCTGTGCACAGTTTGACGCATAATCCAGCCTGACACAATGAACAATGTCATTGGTGATAATATGCAGCCTTGTCTCTCTTTTGTCGTCTTCACTTCGAACGCCTCAATTGGGTTTTCCTTGTGAGTGGTACAACTTACTCTTCACTCATAAATCAAATGGTATAATAATTGTGCCTATTTAGTCCAAAATCATTCATACCAACGCTTATTACAAGTAACCATCTCAAATAATATCACAAAAACATGATTCATAATATTTGAGGTGAACCTTTTATGACACGTGAAAGGTTTAAATTAAACATTTTACAATTTCGAAACACGTAAGCGGAGCATAGAAGTCTTCCACCTTTTCACCTAATTTAATAAGAAAGTAAGAACTCCTGAAATGATACTTTAAGTCGTCGTAACATTGGTTGCCGATTGAGGAAGAAAAAACAGCGTACAAACCTGCCAACAATTCGACATAACACTTATTGATATCTCCTGTGTATTGTCTTCGAACAGGTGGTAGATATCTTCAAGAATCTTATTTTTTAATAGCACAGCTTAGTTATTCTTCTTTCCGTATACTATAAATTAAGCAGCCCACCTCTACTGTATTCTGCTAATCGCGGTTTATATTGGCTGAATTCACGTCTTCTCACATCATTATATTTAATCTCCGCATGATCTCATCTATTTCATCCTTGGATGCCCAACACATAGCCTGCTATTGAGGTTCCACTAGAGGACATGCCTGATATTCTATGTCATGTAGTCCTGTTGTGGTGATGTGATATAGACGATGTGTTCCAACGGAATATTATTCTCATATATTCCCACAGTTCAATACTGCATTAGCAACAGAATACCATATATATATATATATTTGAACATTCTACTTCATATCGTTTAATGTAAACCAAAATCACACGCTCAGTGATTGGTTGAAGAATGTAAAACTATATATACATGAATGGCAGTTTGATCACTTAAAAATACACCTTGGCTTGCTTGTCTTGGTTTTTGTTGTTACACTGTTACTTGAATGTCCCTTCACTTCATATGAAATACAACTCCAATTCCTTCTACATAGTTGTCGGGTAATAGATTCTTAGATGGCGTGTTCCTTGAGTTCACTTGATGCCTATAATTCCTAGACGGCCATGAGATTTCGATTATCGAGTTATTGGCAACAAATGTGATAAAAACTTTCGCTAACCTTATTGTGATAAGAGAAATGGTGTCCTGTGGTAGGGTATAATTTCATACTAGGAACGGTATTCAGTTATTAATCTTGTATTAGTGTGTGTTATATCAAATAAAATAACATGGAATTTGCATAAGCCTACTGGGAATGCTTTTGGTAACGCGTGAACCATATAAGATCACTAACTTGACCCTGATGTGCTTTATGCTTTACATCCTCCTAGTGAACTCTTGTCTTATTTTCTCGATCTGCTCATGGAGGGTTTCAACACTACCACTGTTGATGACTAGTGTTTGCTGTTGTTAGTTGGGTGTTCTCATCAATTCTCTTGTTCTGTGTTCACCTGAAGTTTTATCTTGTCTTCATGTTCTGTCAACTTGTCGGTTTTCTTCTGCGAATCTCGAATTTTCACGACAACACATGCATGACATTCAGATCTTCTAGGGACATTTTATCGTTCAGTAGATTATTAATATATTGTAAAAGCCCCCATAATAATGATAATTATAGAAGACTATTTATGCAAGCAAATATGTGTTTTCGTTGAATTCTCATCAGGATTTACATTTACATAACGACGTAATATTAGTCATAGGCATTTGAATGATGAATACGGTTAATAAGGCACATAAAGGATCAGAGTTCAGAGATATGAATTAATGGATAACAGTCGAGGTGATCATTTTTTTCCCTTCACGTTCCAAGTGGAACATAGGGCTTCAGGCTAGTGGCTTGAAGTTTCTGTAGCAGAGGTGATTATTTTTACAGGATGGGGTTGCTAGCCTCATGCCCAACCTTTCATCTTCACCAGCATTATTTCTGGCTTAGCGAGGTAATGGAGTGCATCGGCCGGGGATCGAACCCCGGACCATGTGCATGATCAGCGAGCGTGCTAACCGCTATGCCACTGACGCACGGAGGTGATCATAATAATAATAATACTAACAGGGATAAATTCATTCAAATGTTTATGCAATCTAAGCAATGGTAAGTGTATAGGTAGAGAATGTGTATACTAGCCGGAGGGGTTGAGGAGGAAATAACCATTATCACGTAGTTATTAGATAATATAATAATAATGATAAATAGTGAAACGGAGATTAAAATTTACAACTACAGCAGACCGCATGAGATGTTGATAATACAATTAGCATTAAAAATAAGACAAAATAAAAATATAAGACGATTTAGTGGTGTGAAATATTTCCAATATCAAAAATTAAAATTTAATCTGAACGAAGAATATTCCTTTGAGTAATTTCTCCTCTTCAGGTTCTTACGATTTTAAAATAGGATATTTGTTTTCGTTGCAGTAATGGCCAGTTATGCGGCAGATACATTCTTTTAACGTAGAATAACAGATTAGTTATAACAGGGTGTCAGAATAAATAGTCGTATTTGTGTGACAAACGTGCTAGGCTGAAATCGATTACAAAATATTGTGAAATGGGAGACAATGCTGGTGATTCGTCCTAATATAATGTGGGTTAGAAAAAATTGACAAGTCAGTTCAAGGTTATAAAAGGTGTCAGGTGAGTGGCTAGTACAAAGTGGTCTGTGTTAAACAGGAGATAGTAAGACTGCAATGAGAGAGGTTCATAATGAAATAACGAATGTGTGGAATGAAACAGGTGGAGGCATATATTGAGAAAAGAGATAATACCACTAATAATATGTCCGTATTGTATAAATGGAAAATTCGATAGTATTGAAAGAATGTTTGAATGAAGGGTTTAAGTTATGAATAATAATAATAATAACAGTTGTAATAATGAGCAAAGAAAGAAAAAAAGAGGGTTAAGGGTAAGAAGCACTCTTGGTGAGAAGAAGAATCACCATTCCAAGTTTGACCACAGTAGGAACAGCGTCTGAACGTGTTCTTTTTGGATACAAAGTTCTAGTTTAGTCGATCTTATTGCAACAGCATCAGCTATGTGTAGTAGACGTAAGCTAACTGTACGTGATAACGACTTCGCAATTCGGTATGTAACCCTGAAAGCTGTGTTAACTTCAATGCGGCGTCCAGTGTCGACCAGGGAAGTGACAGCATCGACCTTTTAATACACTTAATTTCCCCCTGCTGGACATAGCATCAACGTCAACACAGCTTTCATGGTTATATACCGAACAAACGTTTTCTGAACACAGACATTGGGTTGAAAAATAATTATGGCAGCCACCTCAGATATGCTTACCCACTAATTCACATCCCTGAACTCTGATCCTATATTCTATTAACCACATTCATCAATCAAATGCCTATGGCTAATATTTCATCATTATGTTAATGTAAAGCCTGATGCAAGTTTTCCGAAAATACGTATTTGCTTGCTTAAATCGTCTTCTGACTGCAGCACTGGATGATGCGAATTTGAATCTCAGAAGGGAAATTAATTCCTTCAAGGCAGTCGTAGATACGCCTTGCTGACGAATGTCAACTAACACGAAGCCTAGGTCAGACAAGGCTTCTTGCCGACTGCCTCCAAACATCTAATATCTATAATTATTGATAAATGTCCAAACTCGCTTCTTGCGACGTTTACATTTTAATTACATGGTTTCCAAATTGAACCAAAGAACACCCTGCTCTCAACGAAACTTTATTCTAGATAACACTGAGGTTACAACCCTTCAAAGCATGACATAAATCAAATCCATTGAACATTTTAAAAAAACAAATGAATTGACGCTTGATTTAAAATTCAATTATAATGAAACAGAAATTAATGCTATCGTTAAATTTTATGATTTTGCATATTGAAACACCAAAACAATAACAATATTATATTGTACAATAAACACAAATTATACCTTAAATGTCAGAAAAATAAAAGTAAATTAAAATTGTATCAAATTGTATCAATCAAATTGTTTTTCATTTAGATAAAATGAAACGGTTTTCAGCGCAAATTTTGTGTTTATTTACTTCTCCTGCGCCAGAGTATTTATTTGTTTAATTATTTATTTCACCGAGATCACAAGTTGTTGCTTTCTGATAGGTAAAGGGAGAAGAGAGTGTTATTGAAAGGGTAAACGTATTAAGCAACTCTGCAATGTCTTACTGATTTGGATATTTACTTTAGAAACAAAGCAGGAGAGAGAAATGTTTCTTTATTAGCTTGATGACAGGTGGTTTATTTCTCAACAAGTCGGTCGGAGAACTTCATCATGAGCAAGATATCAGTTAAAGAACCAATGGAAAACCTGCAGGGAATACTGGACGTCAGTTTCGTCCTAGTCTGGGACTCTTCGTCAGTACGCGCTATGCCATCAATTGTCAAAAGTTGAAATTCATGGGCTGGAAAATGGATCGGATACCAGTGAATGGCTTAATGGTTTGCGAGCTCTCTAGCTTTGTAACCCGAAGGCTTGGAATTCGAACCGCTGTTTTAGGTGCGTACTGGTGAAGAGTCCCAAGATAGGCTGACGAAACAGCTTTCCAGTACTTCCAGGTGGGTTTCCCATTGGTTCTCTACCTGATGTCACCTCATGATGAAATCCTTCAACCAATCAAACACAATCCCTAAAAAACCAATACTTGAATATTATTATCATGATTCCTTTGGGTTCCAAGTAAAACATGATGCTTCAAAAGCCCACATTCTTTTATCGTTCTCTCACCTTGAAGATTGGCCGCAAGCTTTCATCTCCTTCTGACATGATTCTTAACCATGACACCCTAGAACGCCCGATCAGCTGTTTCCTGATCGAGTTCTACTCTTGCGCCTACCACTCAGTATCACACAAGAGACTTCTGAATATGTGTCCAACTCATTTACATTTTCTCCTCAGTTGATTCTTTCCTAACTGGAATTCTTTATTGTTAAGTTCCGCAGGGATTCTATCTGATCTTTGGTATGAGGTGAAGTCGGTTGTTGGCAGAAAACTTGAGTTGGCTGTTGAAAATGCTACTGGTGTCTCACCAAGTTCCTGAACTATATGGACCAGCTGTCATTGGTGTTCAGAATCTGAATTTTGTACTTTATATTGAATACAGTAGAATTTAGCAGTGATATAAGAGTGATCTCATCCTGGCTTTGATATCCCTATCCCTGCTACTTGTAAAGGAAATGATGCTGTCTACATAAGTAAAAGAAGTGATCTTCTCCAACTCTCTCGAGTGGATATTGATTGGTCCTTGTTTGCATCGGATAAGTACCTTCAGCACTTCTTTCTTCTCCATATTCATTTGATCGCCAGTTTTTGTTGTCTGCCTATTCCGCCAGTCAATCTACGTGTTTGTGTGACATTACACATCAGTCACCCCAAAAACTCACATCTTTTAGAGTCTTCTTTATCGGTTCAACGTGTGCTTGTCTTCTCGCTCACAACCGTCCCTCGCATAATCCGCTCTAACGTAATTGCAGATAGACTTGGCTTACTACTGTATTCACTTCAAAACGCTCACTGAGTTGAAATTATTGGATAGACAGAGAGAAAATGTTTTTACACACAAATTACCCGTTCCACAAGATGCAGATCTCTTTTTGAGATGTTCTGTTGTCAAAAAAATATCACATTCTTTACTTCTATTCATCCCTAAGTAAGCATCTGAGAAGAATATATGAAGATTTACTATAGAATCAAATGACAGTAATTTAGAAAATGAAATAAAATGCCTTAGTTGCCTCTTGTTTCTTCACTATTTTTGTTATAATTCTATAATATCAGGGATGACAACTTAATGTGGGACATTTTCTCATCGTCTAGGATCATCAAGTTTAACAATAGTCAATAGTACGTCGCATAACGCAATGCTTTTCAATATGAAGCGAAAACCAACCATTTTAAATTTTTTCCTCTCCTTCGAGAATTGCTCAATAGTAGGTTGAAATATAGGAGTGAGTACATTTCATCATCAAAGGTGACCAATGAATGATTAAAAAATTAAAAACAAATTGTGGAAAAAGTGATGGATTGTTTCATACACGAGATTCCATTTATAAATTTAAAACAGAGGTGGAATAAAAATATTTGTACAGAATAATATGGATACATTTTATTTCGTTAGATCTCCTCAGCTGAGCGCAACTTGTAAAATTTAGTAGAACCAGCTATTTTACAATTTTATCATCAAAAATTAATCCTCCAGTGGGTATTGTTGCAAAATAGTCACAGTGAGGATGTAATACGATGAGTAGAATTCAAGGGGTCAAAAATTAATTCTCATATGAAACACACAAAATAATTGAGCAAAGAATGTCCTTTTAGATAATTTCCTCTTCTTGCTCTACAATTATACATAAATGTTTATATACATAAAATATTCAAGAATAGTAGTCAATATCAACGTTAGTGTTTTTTTAAATAATATCTATTTGTAAAGTAAGATCGCAATGGAATTACAGTTCATTAAAGATGCTTAATTTATAATAATAACGAAAATATAGTAGCAAATAGAGTATCAACTAAAATTAGGAAAATTACACAAAAATTGAGGATCATTCAAATCCAGAGGGCCAAGGTCTTACCTTAGACAATGTCAGAACTAGCTTCTTTCAGACAAATAAATTAGGCTTCTTAATGTGGATCCCAACAGCCTCAGCAATATTTAGTAATCGAACTCTTAAGGGCAAAATTAGGACTTGTTGGTATGCGGTAAATGACCTTGAAAGCATGGTTAACATCAATGTTGTGTTCTGCATCCACAAGATGAGATAGAATAGTTCTACGAATAGACTTTTTTGTCCTTTACTTAACCAATCACTCAGGGTGATGTTCAGAAATCCGACGAGAAACACGCCTAATTGTACGTCCTATGCAACTAACAGGAGCAGTTAAATTGTATATTGTATTCCATGTCTATAAACATATATATAACTGTAGAGCCAGAAGAGGAAATTATCGAAAAGTATATTCTTTGTTCAATTATTTTCTGTTTTATAGATGTCTGAGTGGATATTTTTTTCATATGAATGTAAAACGGAAAATGAATGTGGAGAGGAAAGGTGGTTGAAAAAGAATGATGAAATTAGGAGATAGAGTTATTTATTAGAGAGAGAAATAACCGGATAATTGAAGTTCCACAACGGATTCATTTTGAACACATAAGTTATGTCCTGCGTCTTTCAGGTGTTTGGTAATTGGTGGGTTCGAATTTTTCATTCCTTTAAATCGAAGGTTCTCTGGTACATGTTCGAAGAATCTGATATAGGCCCTTTCTTTGTGTCATTCGAATACAACCACCATCTCAGTTACCCCTTTGAGTGCTTGTTGATTTTTAATTGTGCCACTGTAAATATTTTACTCAAAAGTTCATCTCTTTATCGCATTATTTGTGATCGTCACCTAAACTGATTCATTTTTGATTCTTTATGTTTGAATGAAAATTCGGGTTGCGCACAGGTTTGCATAGACCGCCATTGATTCAGCACTGATTAAAACAAAACTATTTTAAAAAATCCTACCGTGTCAACACTTTATTCTTTCATATGACTCTTTCATTTTTTTCTTTTCATAATAATCTAGGCAAATGGTCGTTGACATTTGCTATCGGAAGTGGACTTGCTGCACTGTTGGCTACAGTATTTGTCACTGTGATATGCTGTTTTATTAAATATGCTCGAATGCGACGTGTAAATTCAAAGAATCGTTTAAAATTATTTGAAGGTTCTACAGTTCAGAAAAACAATGGTAAGTACACTTCCGTGTAGTGTATTTATCGTGGAAAAAAAGCCTGTCTTATTTTAAATGCTTATCTAGTATTTTGCACCATCATGAATTATGTTCAAAGCTTTTGACACTTTAATACCATCCTTCAAGCATTAGCTTCTTGGCCACTTTTCAGTATATGATGGTTTGTTGGGCACTGCTTCGTTTGACTGGTGTACTGAACTGTCAGTTCTTATGAATTTTGTGCTGTTTTGTTGCATAAATTGAGATCTATGAAGCTAGAGAATCAGAGCTGAAGATGTATGAAAATAAGGGACGTTTGGACATTTTGGAAAGGTATTTTATATGTTAGAAAAGAGGGGCTCTTTGCTGAACACGTCTCCGTTTCTACAACTTATGGTAGTGTTTACGCTACTGAGCACAGTTAATACAAAATGAAAAAGGATTTAGTTAAGCAAATTGATAATAATACTGTAATATGTAACGTGTATCACAGATAGAAAGTTTCATGTCAGGAAAAGCGATGGAGTTGATCTCCTTCAGGAAAAAATTTCATTTCGCAATCGACGTGATCGGCTAGAAACTGGGTGATTCATTCGCTGTTTCCTGTTGATATGAATTTTCGTCTTTGTTAGCATACACCTTCAGATAAGTGACCGGGAGTGTGCGTTTAGCAAAAAAACAAGAATGTTTGTAGATAGTTACATAGTAGAAAAGTTTCTATCATTCGGATATTTAATGGCAGCTGAACCCACTTTCCAGTTGCCGGAAATCAATTGACGAGGCAACTACATCGACTGAGGTGGTTAGAACATGTGTTACGTATGCCTAGTCATCGCCTTCCTTAACCGACGGCCAATGTTAGCTGACATAGTGTCAGGCTGAAAAGAGCTACCGGCGGTCTAACCAAAACATAACACCAATCAATGAAATCCACAACAGTTAGTTTAAACCAGTCACGTAAAAAGGTGTTGACTTCATGACTGATTGGGATCCTCGGGACAGTAAAAACCAATGATAGGTGGAGACAATCGGTGATATGGCTGGCTTGAAATCGCTCTCAATAACGCAAATGCATCCACTCCTTTTGACCTATAATTTCCAATGAAAGTATATTGTTCTTCGTTATTGCTGTTCCTTTTTTCTCATATCCCTGTCTACTGTCTCTATTTTTCATTTCTTCTACTTTCTTATCTTGCTTTGTGTGCCACATGGAGTATGGCGACTTGAACTGCTGCACAACGGTGCAAATTTATGTGTTGAAAAAAGACAGACAGAGGGGCAGGAAAAGTGTTAGTTTGGGATTGATTATTAGATTAATTCTTAAAGTCCTTCCATGAAGAAGAAAACCTTTCGTATAGTGTTAAGCACTTTGATAATTTCATAATCAAAAAACTAAAATTTTGAGAATTAGTTAACTGGGATTTGTTTTGCTTCAAGTTTAACCACGGATTGATATCAGTTGTAGCACCATAGAAGATCTGAGAACACATGACAAACGTTTCATTCTACTTTGGATTACACTGGGGTTGGCACACAGGATATTTCGTTTTTCGAGACAATCTTGCAGACCACTCAACTAGTGGGCTGCAATCCGTCCTGAGTGAAGAGCAGTATTCTCATGTGACATTGGCTGATGGTCTCATTACAGTAACAAATTGGTAGAAGTCAGAACTCATTAGGCATTGGCTGAATGGTCTGTGAACTTCCATTGTCTTCAATTCGAACCCAATAGGTGCATACTATCTGTGAGCTGTAAGCAAGGAGGAAACAGATGTCCATTAGCCACCAGTTACTTTTCAATAGTCCTCTAACTTGTATCAATTCGTGAGCAAACTTATAAATACCAGATGTTCTTCCTTGTCGAAAGCCGTCGAAATTAACGTGCTTTTAATTAGAATTCAAATCTGATGAAGAATTCCAAAAGCTCCTCAACGAATCTAAATCCTATTCAGGTGAAGATATTACCACATGACACGAATGTCTGTATTTCTCAATCAAACGCAAAGACATTGTATGATAAAGAGCAGTTTGAAAATCTTGTCAAGTAGACGAAGGACCTGACAACAAACTCATCAAAAGATTTATAAAATTTCTTGTCATCTTTGCTTATATAATCATATCATCCTGCGAAATCGAAACCAAAACTCCTGCGGTATCTATTTTCATCCAACCTAAGGAACTGTGGAATAGCAGGAACATCTTACTGACAAGATTAGATAACGATACAGGCCTTCCAATATTAAATTGGAGAGATCCAACTGAGAAAACTCGAGATATTCCCTGAGGTTAAGGCAAATATTTTAGAAACCTGAACGCAAGGAGAACGAGTCATAAATGATAGGGGAATAAATCACATACAGGTTTTGAAACGAATAGAGAATAATTCGTTGTTGATATCAGATTTCTATGAAAGTATATTCAGGATGCTCTGGCTCGATTATTCCTTGACCCTATGGAATTTAATTCTTTCAAATTGCTCGTCAGAAGAACAGTGCTCATAGTGTTGCTTCGAAATAATGGAGACCATTATTTAGCTCAGATGGGTGTTGTAATGTCCATCATTGTTGTCGAGAGCATCTTGGGCGCTAATTTCAACGGTAATTTCATGCCAACACTATATTTTTCAAATTGAATATATATGAGCGGTTATATGTATGCAGGCATGAAGCATCGATCTCTACAGGTGGGGACTACAGAATTCATTCCGAAACGACTGCAAGAACAAATAAAGTCAACTGATTCAAATGACCACAGAACAAGATTTTCATCACCATCTATAACAAAACACGTCAAAGAGGCAGGTCATAAATTTGATTTCAATGGTGCCTTTCAACCTATTTATAGAACAGGTTCGGATCATATACGTGAATTCGTTGAAACTGATTTTATGCACATTCAAAAATTATTTGTTATTACCTTGTATCTGGCTTGATAATCCACTTTTAAAATTAAGGCTTCTTTTACTTAGGAATATACTCAACAGTCCTTCTTGTTTTCTCACGTCACCTTTTCCAACCTCTTTTCCGTGATCTTGATCCGTGAACATTTTGACCTATAATGGTGAAAAAACTATGATTCTTTATACTCTGTCAACATCCATATATGTTTAACGAACAGGTATATGTGTGTGTGGTCAGAATGTCCGAAATGTGTTGCATTACACGTCTCAGACGAACTGCGTTTTCTTATTGTGTTTATTTTAAGACAAAATACGATTATTTTAATCAAACGACAGCTTATATTTGTACAGTAAATAAGGCAGTAATATTACTTTTTACCCTCCTGTCTCAATATATAAACTCCTAATCATGCTTCTTCATGCTTCCTAGTTAACAGAATTGCAATGTATTTACGACTGTTGCGACTCTATCTCTCTTTTTTAATATGCTCTATCCAGAGAATATAGCAATTACAAGGTTTTGACATCAAAATGTCTGTTGGAAAAAACAAGAGGTGTTCAATACGCATTTTTAAATGAAACTTCTCTCCGTGAATTCCTTGTTTATTTGCTGGTTTTTTTTCCTTTCATGTAGGAAGCGAAGATGTTCATAATGATATGGAATTGCAAACTATGCTGGGTTCTAAATCGTCACAGTCAGCTGTATTGGGATCCAACTATAACGAAAATATAAATATGAATACTAGTAACAATGTGAGTGATTTTACGAATGTTTTTCAAAATACGTATTAGATGATTAAGGTCACTTTAAAGTAGAATGGTTTGAATATTAATACTATGAATAAGTGATCCTGTAGCTCAAGAGTTGCATGCCGGCCAGCTTCACATGTGGCTCGGGTTCAATTCTCGACTGACGGGCTGTGAATCTTCGCCTACTTACCTAGATGATATTTAAATCCATTATAGATAAGATATTATTTTGATAAATCACACAGTGTTTTACAGTACAATTAAGAGATGCCGTTTCCAGCACAAACTATTGCTCATAATCATATCAAGGTACCACTCACACAACTTTTTTGCTACATTTATATACATGAGTGGAATTGATTGGACATTTGAATTAAACGACGAAATGAAACAGATTGAAGAAGCGTTGCTGTTGAATAACTATCCTATAAAATTCATTAGGAATATCAAAAAAAGTCAAAAGCAAAATAAAAACAACATTGAAACTAATAATAATGATAACATAAATAAGAGAGAATATAAGGCATCTACAGTTATGCCATATAAGGAGGGGACATCTGAGACCCTCCCCAAGTAGGATTCGCAATAAAGCAGGAATTAGGGTGGCATTCAAACCTACAAACTCACTCACTCAGTGACAAGCTCTGTGGGCTAAAAGACCCGGTGGACCCAATTAAACAAAACAATATTATTTATAAAATACTTTGCAATGTCTGTGAGTGAGGTCAACTACATAGGTCAGTCAAACTAGAAGATCGGGGGTAGTCAGATTGTTGGAACATAGGCATTTAGCCAAGGTAAGAATGATTGATCCCAAGAAGATGAGTTATTTAGAAAAACAAACTCAGCAGTCGCACTACATGCATTATCACACAATCACACAATTAAGTGGGTGGAGAGGATTAAAATTCTAAGAAGTAATATAAGGAGGTGGAGAGAGGGAGGTTGATTACTGAATCCTGGTTCATGGAGTCTACACACACCCAACATATGCAGCAGTAGTTACTCAACGCAAATACCAGAGATATGAAGGATATTATTACCACCAGTCAAATAAGAGGAGGATAATAAAAAATCTTAAAATTCTTTTTCACTTCACGTACATCATAACATTCCAAGAAGTTACTTATTTTGAATATGAAAACATCTTATTTCACATCTGACTGTATTTGGTTGGTAACACTGATATTATTATTTCTCAATGTACATTATCCCATATTGATTTTTATTCAAATGCCTAATCATTTCCGTTATTGTATATGAATTAAGTAAAAAGGTTTCGTGAGTGTCGGTTAATGTTCCTGTATAATACTGTGTGGTTTTTCAAAATAAAATCTTATCTATAATGGAGTTATACTCTGCCACAATGCCCAAACTTTTTACTTATATTAATAGATGAAATTTAGGTCGGAAAAGAGGGAGGGTTTGACGTGAAGCAGGCAACTACAGGCTTGTAAAACAACTCCGATGCTATCAGAAATTCAGAGTTGTAGTTATTTTGTTACACTTAGAAAGTGTATGTAGTTCATTTACTGTAGCACTCAGCTTTCACGTAAATTGTCTTAGGCTTGAATCCCTTTTCAAATTATTCATTTCTAGACTGTGAACACAGCTATCCATTTACACAAAAAGACACCAAGTATAGTTTATTTATAGTTTTACTAGAGAGAAATCAAATGATCTTGTGGCATCTGTCATCTTTCTACTAGCATTTTTAACCTACTAGGGTACTCTACCTTCTGTTTTGTACTACTAGTGATGGATGATAACTTTAATTGCAGAATTGTTTTAAGAAGTAACTTCAAAACTTCATTCAACTGGGCAGCACAAATTTCCAGTTGTTTCGTTTCTGATGAAAACGTTTTCCTATCAGGAACTCATTGCGTAAATACAATAGAAAACTTAATGTTTTTTCTTCTTCCTTTATTCCTTGACTTTCGAGTGGAGTAGAGCACCTGAGGCAGGAATCCTCCTTTTCCAGACTTATTGTTGATTAGCAAACTAGACGAGGTTTGGAAGCTCATCGGATGGGAATCAAGCCCAGAGCGCATGCGTGATTTGTGAGTATCCTGCAAGTAAACTACCGAACCACCTTATGTAAACCAATCTAATGAGATCTACACATTGGTCTCGGGATTATAGGTTCTGTTTTATCACATACTTACCCTGCAGTCTGGTTCATTTTTCATGAAAATAGCTTATACAAGAGTGTTGAAAGTAACTAAGCAACGTACTATTATCTACCTCTTGAGTTACCTTGTTGAAATGGCTGGCCTATGGTTATTTATTATTACCCTATGATAGTAGTCAGTGTAAGTATTTCAGTATTTTGCTGGAACAGTCATGCAAAGATTAGAACTAATAGCTGTACCTACAATTAAACCAAAAGTCTGGGTACGTTACGTTTATGATACATTTGTAATAATTAAAAGAAATGTGATTTGGAATATACCCAAATATTAATAAACAATATATTTGAAGACATCAAATTCACCCCGAGAGAAGAATTAGATAATAAAGTCCCATTTTAGATGTCTTAATCAGGGGAACTAACACAGGAAATTTAAAAACACAATTATGTAGAAAGTCATCGCACACATACCGAATACTCAACTATACTTGCAATAATCCAAGTACTCACAAACGAAACTGTGTGCAGACATTGTTTAAAAGAGTTTAAACACATTGTAGCACTCCAGCGTTGAAAAGAATAGAAGAAAAATACCTACTAACCGTCTTCAAAAAGAATGGATATCAGCACAATTTCATCAAAAAGTGTTTAAAATAACCAACAATACGCCAACGTCAAAGAGCACAAGAAATTCATCCTGCCATATATAAGGAGGAATATCCCTGAAATAACAGCTAGAATATTAAAACCGTTTGAAAAAGATATAGGACAAAAACCAGCCCGTCAAATCACTTCAGTGGATAGTGTGCAAGCCGAAAGATCCAACAGAAATAAAGAAGATAAAATTAATACCATTCATAAAATAAATTGTATAAACTACAATAAAACATGACATCGATCAAACTGGCCATCCCCTTCGAATCAGAATCCAGCAACATCAGTTTGACTGGAATAATGTCGAAATTTTAAACAGAGGAAAAACCAAAAGTGCCAGAGAATTCCTAGAAGCCTGGTACTCGGGGGAATAGGCGATTAACAAACATGTTAATATAGACCAAATCTACCAAATAATAAAAAGTAAATCATGTGACGAGAAAGTTTAAAATGCAGGTCAATAAAAAATGATCAGTACATATGTAAAGATGGTTACCAGGAGACGCAACTCTATCACTCATTGAAAATTTAAGTCATTTCACTTTATGCTAAAAATTGCTCTGAGGGGGAATGTTGTCCAGCAGGAGGAAGATGAATGCTCCCAACCACACCAACCAGCTCAGGGAACACTACTAGTTGCAAAACTTCATTTCATAAATTAGTTATTTTCACTCAAGAAAGAACAACATTAGTTTTCGCAGAATAATATGGCACCATCATTGTTTATTTCGTTGACTTCTCATCGGCTCAGCTGCTTACAGCCTAAATAAATTATTATTAAGTCCATATAACGAAACTTGTTGAACATACTTCCAAATTTTACATGATGTCAGTTGACAGCAAGTTCCAAACTCAGTGAACAGTGCTCAGAAAATGATGCTTCTACAGTTTTGAAACAGGTAGTCCAAGTTTAAACAAAGTAAATGTTTATATAAAATGGTAAAGGAGTTAGGTTATGCAGACGAGAGATGTGCAGGAAGATGAGTCACTAATAAATTACTTAAAAATTTACTGAGTTCAGCTCAAATCATAGAAACATGAGACAAGCAAAATTACACTAAATCAGTGGAGACGGTGAGGTTAAAGTCGAAGAATACGTTCTCAAATGAAAAAGAGAATAAAGACATCCAGTTACCAGGATGGACAAGGTATGACGTATAACTGCTTCATTCTGAACACATAAATCGGGTTTCAGGCGTTTAATATAAAGGTTGCTTCGGCATATTTGAGGAGGATTGAGCCTTTTTATCAATTGATAACTTTTCTTATTGCTTGATTCGAATTCATAAAGAGGAATCAATGCATAAAACTTAATTATATATCTCTAAATGCTCTTATTATTATCTATTCGCACGCTTAGGAGTATTATCCAACTCACAGTCAGTACAAATCTGATATTGGGACGTTAACTAATGACAGTGGAATTTTAAAATATACAAGTTATGATTTAAAGTGAGTAAAGATGTTGGTTATCTTGGTTTCAGTGTTTGTTTTCTGATATATTATTCACTGAGTAAAATTCCGGTTTGTAAACACACAAAGGGAAGCAAAAACTGTACTTGATTAAGATGGAGAATGTCACTAACACTCATCGTCACTCGGTGTTTGTCTGTGGGTCCTACAAATTAGACTGGTTGTAAATCTACTGGTTGAAAGGCTCTAAGATATCTGCTGATCTTCAAGGCTGCCTGTAAAACTCACCAGCCACTGATGGAGATAAGAAACCACAGAGATACAGACAAGAAACTTTCGGTCTCCTTGAAATCCATCGTTACCAGGAGAGCGCTGAACTCTTGATTCACTAATTGAACTTCCAACGTCTCGTTCTTGAAATTACTCAGGACCTCAAGACTAACTCGTGATTCCATATCTCAGCGGCCTCTAAAAAGCCGGTAAAGCCTATTAAGCTTGTCTTTTCGATGACACCAACTTGTTTGCCGTTCATGCCAAACATGTTAGCATCATGTCAACGGAAATCCAATTGGCTGATCGCATCCGTGGTGAGCGTGTCTAAATTGGTCATATATGACACTTAAAGCTGTTGCCGCCTTTCTTACTACATACTCAAAGTATGTCATGTTATCAAAGATCACATTCTTTAAGAACACCTTCAAAACATCATGAGTTTTATTGGTGAATCAAACCAAAGATACGTTCAACACCACCACAACGAGTGAGATGGTGGATAGAGGGCTTTGTTATTCTTCTGATTTTTCACGAAAAGGCTTAAGATGTCATTTAACTCCCCAGTTTCAAAGTTCTATTTCGCTTTCACCTTAACTCATTCTTAAATAGATAATGTGACTGTTTTAGCTCAGTAACCTAGTGAATTATGCTTTGGCATAAGAGAGGGAGAGACTGAGGGAATAAGCACTAGTTTCCAGCCTCAGGGAAGAAAACTAAATTTACTTCCACCTGATGAGTATCCAGTGGGATCGCTATCTGTGAATTACCATGTAATATTAGACACTAGACAATTGTTGGGAATTTTAAATTCATTAAAAAAAACTAAAACCTTCAGCCATGGCCAAACTGGGGGTTGAACCTAGACTTTTCAGGTTAGTTAGTGAATCTGTTGACCTCTCAGTCAATGAGGTGGAGTCTCATGGTTCGTAAGTCCTAAGTTCCACAAACTTGTTGCATGTATAGCATAAGTAGGAGGTAACAGAGTTAGGTCGTGAAGATAAGAACTCACAGATGAAGTAGACTGGTAATCGTGCTGTATATGACGAACTCGCAGAAGTTAGAACTCATTATATTTTGCACTGTGCTGCAATCCAAGTCCTAGGTTACATCCTAGTAGAATGATGACTGTGTACTACCGAAGGGTCCTCGACTAGGATCAAAGAGCTATCCAGTATACTAATAAGCAACAAATTGGACAGGAGGATTTTAAACTGTACCATGAAATGCTTCTGATTTGTTCTGTACAATTCTAAAAATATTGTTTTAATAATATTTCCTTTTTTGTCATTCTACCAGCAGTCCAACCCATCGAAGTGATGCAAATACAGATTTTATAAAAGAGAATTATACAAATTATCCTCCGGATGCAAATTCAGGAAGCCCTTTGCCTTTCTCTCATTTATACTTATCACCGGTTAAACCTCTCCCCGCTTCACTTAACAACACAACCGGTAGCTATCATCATAATCCCTATTGTGAACTACCACAAATGAATGCCCAGATGAATTCAACTGTAAACACTCTTTCCCCGTTAAATACACCTGATTATCCTATGAATATTATCTCCAGTTTAAAGCATCCTGATATTACATCCTTAGTGCATACAAATACATTATTAGCTCGTGGTTCAACCTATTTGGAAAACTCTGCCGCCTCCTCCTCTGCACAGACAACATTCTCGCCCTTATCACCACAATCCAATGACACGTCATCATCATCCCCTTTAGGTCCTATTTTTCTAATGACTTCAGATATAAACTATCCGCCTGGTGGTATGCATCATCACAGTACTGCAAATTCTACAACGACGACTGTTCTGTTACCGCCGGTGGTGTTTGAAGCGACAAATGATCAGAGTGTACTGTGTAATCCATACAACAACAATAATTCATTGTGTTCGAATACCTCAATCCTGTTGAATACAAATAATAATGTTGCATCAGATATCTCCTTCATCCCATTTAGTGTGAACAATGTAAATCAACAACAACAGACATAGAATAAACGGGATTGTGGAGTGTTTTGTTTATTTTTCACAGTTTATGTCAAATGTTTGAAGAAACTGTGTGTATGAGAAGCATTTATTCTAGGTGTTTGTATAGAGTGATAATACTGACAGACTATTTTTATTTTCATGGGCATACCATGTTTTTACAGATGGAAAATTGTCAAAGTTATCGTATTGTTCTTTTTTAATTGTTTTCAAGTATTGGATTTGTAAGGGATTGTGGTTGATTGCATGGAGGATTTTATCATGAGCTGACATCAGTTAGAAAATCATTGGAAAAGCCACTTGGGAGTAAGTACTGGACAGCTAGCTGTTTCGTCAGCCTGGTTTGGAGCTTTTCATCAATACGCACCCAACCCCCTGGGGTTCGAAACGAGGACCTTCTGTTTAAGTGGCTAGCGAGCTTTTAGACCATTAGGCCACAGGAATCCGCCCCAATGGCCCATGAATTCTTACTTCTGCCAATTCACAACATAGGGCGACCATTTCGAAATGTATTCTTTGATGAGTAACTGTCCTCACTTTCGAACTGCTGTGCCCTTGTGGTCACGGCTTCCCACTAAAACTCCGGGGTCAGTCACTAGTGAGCATCGGATGTTGTTTGTGGTTCGAACTCTGTTATTTTAGCTGAATTGATAAGATTGTATGATAACAGAAGATATTCTGAGGTCGCGCACTTGTGGCTGATTAGTCAGTGGTATGTCTTAAAGCCCTAAGATCTCTGATGAGACTCCTGGTGCAATTGTGCGTTTTGTACGGCTGAAGAGTCCTCGATATTGAAGAAACGCTGTGTATTACTTCCTAGATTTTGTATGCGCCGGCCGGATGATCTACAGTGATGTTTGAAGTTGATGTTTTATTTTAGGGTGACGCTTTTCGAAACGTTGCTTAGTTTATCAGTCTTTAGTAAGCTGAAATCAAAGACATAAGGTTGGGTGCAAGACTAGCAACTTCAAGCTAGTGAAAGACAACACCCGGATTTGCTGGAGAATGAAAGTTTGAAGTCCTGTGCTGCACACGGCATCCAAAGAATGACAGGAAATCAGCAGTTGGGAGTGAGGACAAATACTCGCATTAAGATCACGAATTGGTATAGGCTAGAATTCATGGGTCGTTGAGTCAGGTTCAAGTTGCTGATTGGTCTCTAAGCTCGCCTTTTAGCCGGATGGTCCTGGGTTCGAAAATTGGTGAAGTTAATTAATAGCGTCACAGGAATGTGGACGCTCCCATGATCTTGAGTGAGTGTAGTCGTTGGATAACGAGATCTGTCACTATTGTAGCGCAAATATGAATGCTATTCACCAACCAAGGAGAAAATTTCACCCAGAGTACTGTTTAGACAATGTGTTAGTAGCTCATTAGGGTCAAGATTACGTTTGGGTAGGGTTAGGATCAGGATTATAATAAGGACTAGGATTAAGTTCAGGGTTACGATTAGGGATAGCTTTGGAGTTGGCATCATTTATTTTAATTTGTTTTATTATCCGCATTTTCCTATTAAGTAGTCATCGATCCTCTTACCGCAAACAGTAGCAATTCACCCAAGGGTCTTTTGTGGAAGACTGCAAGACAGAATAATTGCGATGAACCGGTCATAATAAAGCCCGCCTCAAGTCACCCCAGTGAAGACATGAACAGAAACTAGGCTAACTCAGAAACTGATACTCCTCGTTATAACTGGGAAGTATTTTTAAGTCATGTCAGAGAGAAATACCCTGTTTAGTGTTTTGTTATGCATTTTCTTGAAGAAAACATTATTTTTGTGGATAAATCACTTATTTTTATGATTAGTCGTTTCAAGGGCACTCATGTGTTTGTATTCTTTGGAACGCTATTGTTTAATTTTGCCCGGAACTCATTGGATGCGTACTGATGACGAGTCCCCAACTAGGTTGAAACAGCTGTTCAGTACTCCCTAATCTGATATCACACTTGAATGAGAAAACACCAAGATGATTTATTACTTGCGTTTTACTTGTTGTGGACTAGAATCTGATTCATATATAATCAAAAACAGGTTAGCCAACTCTGTCTCCTCAATTTCTGATGCATGAAAAGTCGCATTTTACTTAGAAGACAAAATTCCAATTCATATACAAGAAATGAAGGCTTTCGATTACGTATAAGTACTGGAAAGCAAACACGTGGTGGTTAACTGTCCAAAAAATAATAGGGTATTAGAAAAGAAATGTTCCGCTATTACCATGCGGGTACACTTGCTTTTCATCACATAACAGATTGAGATTGCGGAAAAATATTAGAAAGCTTTATATATTTAAGTGGACAGAGAGAATTACTTCCCTCTCACTCCTCACCTAATCTATGTTCTTCCTGTCAAGATGAAATGCAAGCAGTCCAAAAGAGGCGATGCCGATACCGGATACATAATAAGCCCCAGTGAAATAAATATGAAGGATTAAAACGTTTCTAGGAAAATTAGTAAGTCATGTGAACACATTTATGTCATAATGTGCAATAAACGGAGGTCCAAATGTTATTTAGTTCCTAGGAGTTCACCACTATGTGCGCTGTATCAAACATACCTATCTAAAGTTGAGATGTACAACAACTTTATGCACAATGATCACAGGTATTTAAGGGTTAGTAACAGAAATATAAGACAGTAGATGGCACATCAGTAAGAGTCATTCACATATGTAGTGTTACTTCAGCTTTCTTCGATGAAGAATTCGCATAATGACTGATTCATCCAAAGTTTCAAACAGGAATAGCTGGTAGAGCAGTCAGATATGTTATCGGAGGTGATTTTCAAATAAAACTGAAGTGGACACAATAAAACTACAAAAGCTTAAATAATATTGCAGATGTGAGCTCAGACCATCATCTAGTTCAGAGGACCTTCAAAGTGAAGTTGAAATTCATGAAAACAAATGGATACAGGCCACAATTGAAGTTCAACACCTCCACTACAGATAACAGAACAAGGTCAGAGACACTGTGTGGTATCACTGAGTATACCTGCGTGGAAGAACATTGGAACTAACTTTCTGAACAGCTGTTCTAGGAAGAAACAGCAGGCTGACCCAAGGTAAAAGAGACGTCACAACACTGTATCAGAAAACCAAGTCTCTATCCGAGAAGAGATCAAAGCAGGTAAAACCTACAAAAGACGGTCATAGGAAGCCAATTACCAGGGTGGAAAAACAAATAAAAAATGGACTGATCATTTCAAACGATTCTTGAATCGATCATCACTTGCAGCTCACTCAGAAATATCACCATCAACAGCATTCATACAACTGCCAGTGGACATCAATCCCTTAACAAAAGCGAAAATCTTTAATGCGATCAAGCCACTGAAATTTGAGAAAGCGTCAAGGACAGACGGAATTTCCCCCAACCCGAAGCACTGGTAACTGATTCAGAGACTGCGGCAGATGTGATCACCCCAATAGTGCAAAAGTTTGGAACTAAAGAAAGGTGACTACTGATTGGAAGAAAGGCTATCTTGTCAAGGGTGACTTACGCCTCTGCGAGAGCTGGCATGGAATAATGCGTTAGTCCACACCATACTAGGTCACTTCATCCTGGAGAAAATAAGGCATGCACTGGATGCAGAAATCCGCCAACCGGAAGAAGCTGGAATTAGGAAGGGCAAATCATTTGCTGATTAAATCGTAACTCTACCTGTCGTTATCAAATAACAATGCATAACATGGCAGTCAAACCTCTGCCTCAACTTCGTCCATCGACTTCGAAAAGGCCTTCAACGAATAGCGTTGACCGAGATGTAATTTGGAGACTACTTCAATACTACGGCAAGCAGTGCCCAAACTTTTATCCACCTCATTCAAGAGCTATATGACAATGCCTGCCACGTGTCAGTTGATCAACAACGGCAAACTCAGGAAGGCGTTCTGAGTGGATATAGGAGTAAGACAAAGCTGCCTGTTATCACTCAAGATGAATTTCTTAACGTTGGTGAACTGGATTATGCGTCACACTGTTCACATGGAGTGAGAAGACAGGAATTCGCTGGACTGACTGATAAGGAGAATCTGGAAGATCTGGATTTCGCGTGTGGATGATTTGTGTTTAATGTGATACTCACACAAACTCGAAGAAGTGCTGTCAGGCGAAAACCAACAAACTGTCTGGAGAGCCGAGGCAGGCAGCAAAGACATGACTCCGTGTGAACACAGAGAAGACGGAGGTGATGAACATAGTCAACCAACAAAACAACCAACCAGCCAACCGACAGCAACAACCAGCACCAATCACCATCAACGGGATAGATTTGACAGAGGCTACTTCACTCACTTATCCAACCAGGAAGCACAGTTTCAACCACTAGCAGGTGGACAACATGGATGAACATGTCAAAGCCAACCAGCCAGCCAGCAAGAATCGGGGAGACAAGATAAGTCTTCATCAACCTGAAACCAGTTCGGAAAACTTCTGCACTCACTCACTCAGGCAGCATAAACAAAACGATTCGGATTCTGATCAACACGAATGTGAAGTCATAGAGATAGTTCTAGTATATGCCTCAGAATTTGGGCGAATCACAAGAAGCATTTCCGACAGACTCCTGCAGACTTTTATCAATAATTACCTTCTTTCCATACTGGGGATCGAATGGCCGGTCAGCCAGTCAGAAAGAATTAGCAACAAGAATCTCTTCAGAGGAACAAACCAACGAAAGCCAATGCCTCAACAAATACATAGGAGGAAATGGAGATGGATTGATTGGGCATACGTTGTGGAGGCCGTCAAATGACATCGCTCTCAATGCATGCCATTGCTCAATTGGAACGTGAATAGGAAGCGACGAGTGGGTCGTTGTTGTTAGGGTCACATGAAGAAGATTGCGTGGGAAGGAGGAGAAGAGAGATTCTAAGCAATCGTGGAGCTAGCCAGATGAAGAGGACATCAGGAAATATAATAGGGTGGAGATGTGTTGTTGTAGCCAACCTATGTTCCACTCGGAACCAAAGGAATTAGTAATAGTAATAATAGTAATAATATTT